GCACAGGGCGCCCGCGGCAGAGCCAGCTACCCTGCGGGCTTCCAGCCAAGGGCACCCGAGTAAGTCCGGTCACGGAGAGTTGGAAAATTCAGGGTAAAAAACCCAACAAGGACGTTGTTAATACATCATCAGAAAATGAGCATTTGATGCAGCTACTTCCGAATTAGTAAATGACAAACAACCGTATGAAAAGGGCAACCGCCATCTAAAAGACAACACGTCAGCACAGCAGCTGTCGGAGCGGACTCAGTAATATATACACCGCACTCGGTGAAACGGAGTATCTTTCATCTCTTCCCTATGGCTCTGGGCATAGTCCCACAGGTGATAATCAAGTAAAACCGCATTGATCTTCTCACACATGTCCTGGCCCTTCTTCTCATACAGCTCCAGCAGGTGCTTACAAATCAAGGCGCAGCACCAAATAGTACAGCCGCGGATCTCCACCTCCTCTCTATCTCCAGACTGGAACATCATTCCTGCAGGACACAAGAGGCAGCAATCCAATTACATTCAGGAGACAGAAGCCCCAGGGTGGCCTGAATTTGCTTTTTCCTTTTTTTTTTTTTTTTTTTTTTTTAATCCTCTCCACATTTATTCTATTCTGGGACTGCAGTTTTCATGACTTACGCTACAACTCGTAACAACATTGCTATGCATTTTCTAATGATTCATTTTGCCATAGGCACTTACAAGTTTACCTCCCATTCAACATCCTGTATTCTAAGAAAGTGGTCTAAGAAAAGGACAGGTGTTTAGGCCATACTGCAGATTATAGGACTACTTCTTTGCTTGTGGAGACAAAAAGGACAGTCAGATGTAATTCTGAGAGGGTATATTTTCTTCTAGGATAACTCTACATTTAAGATTTCAAAATGAAAAGAAAAAAACTCACACAACAAAAAAAAAACCAAACCAAAACCCAAACCAAAACCCCAAACTCTCTCTCTCTAAAAATACAAAGGGACCCATTTGTTTGAATTATTTGGATGGGAACACTCTTATTAGGATTTATGGAAAGATAAATGGTCTACACGATCTATTTAACATATATATAAGCATCTATCTATCTATCTATATAAGGCCATTCTATTAAGATCCATGGACAACTGCATTGTTAATAGACACTGTTGATAAAGCACATGCTTTATCTTGCTGTATAATTTTAAAAATCACATAACTGCAGTCCTAACTCTCAATACAGTCATTTTACAGTGGAAAAGGGATTGGTTTATGATTTTGCTCACTGAAGTTCACAGTTAATAGATACTAGAAGATGGAACCATGCTTCAAAATGAGACTCTAGCCTTATGCAATTAACTTCAATTAAAACCTTTTTTTTAATGGATGCTTATAATATTACCTTGCTTGTCACTAGCAGTTCAGTACAGATAAAGAGGAATCCCCATGCTTTTCCATCGTCTTTGAACTTACGAAGAAATCGCTGCTTCTTTAATCTATATCTCAAAAAACACAACTATACTCATGCTGAAAAGTAGTTCTGTCAACAGCAGTCCTTCAGAAACTCAGAGATCAACTGGCTTCGAGTCTCTTTAACCCTTCTCTTATCAACATTTAATCCAAGGAACAGTCAGAGCTTTATAAAAACCCATAACCTTAAGATCTCATTCAACATTACTGTTATAGAGCAAGTTCCTTCCTGTTACCTCATCACTATGTAAAATGTCCTTGTTCTCTGGAGTAAAAAACCCCACACATAACCCTTACATGGACAAAACATTACATTTTAAAAGTGGCTTTAGTCTACAATGTCGAGGTACGATTACTTGATACTATTAAGAGAGGAACCAACCTTCACGCAGTTTCTTCATTAGTTCTTCAGAATATTTCATTGCTTTTAAGTGAACAAGAACTTGAGGAATTCTGTAGTCAGCAAATATGGTCAGACTAGAAATGTCATCAAAAAAGCCATCTCCTTTGCCATCTAATACACTCCATGTATCTGCCACAAGTATTTGTGCCCGTTTGTAGAAAGACACCTTTTTCCTCTAATGAATTAGAAAGAAAATTACAAATTATTTAAGTGCCTGAAACATCAATAAAACCAGCAAGTGACACGTACAGAGAGTGACAGGTAAGAGTTACATTGTTCTATGAAACATACACTAACATTCGATTAAGCAAACATAATAACTACAAAAGAACCAAAGTGCAGCACTCTTAAGCACCTTAAAACCTAAGCAATATCGAACCACAAACAAGTATCGTGGAACACTCATAAATAAACTGAAATAAAAGAAAAACATAATAGAAGTGGAATAAAAATTGATAGATTCTGCCTGGATCTCAGAACACATTAATGTTGGTTTACTTCACCTGGCAAACACTGTAGTTCAAGTCCAACAAACATTTAATTCTTTCAGAAACCCTAGAGTTCATCCAAGATTTTAGTTTAAGAGGCATAAAAGGCATGTATTGGATTAGGCAATTAAAACATTTCATTAATCAATTTATCCATAATGTTAAGGAAATAAAATTCTAGTGAAAACTTTAATGAATGCTCCTCTGTATTGTGTAGTGTATCTTATTACAGTACACAACAGTGTAATTAGTAGATGTGTAGTTAGAGAGAACAGAGGAAAATAATTTCAGTAGAAGCTGTATTCACAAATACGAGATTTTCTTAGATTCTATGCATGGTTCCACTTTCGTCACAAACTTTTTTCTGGTGCTAAACCTGTAAAGATTTACATGTTTTTGCGACTACTCACAAGCAAAAAAACCCTCAAGACATGCTGTTGAAGTTTTAATTCTATGATGAACATAACATGTGAACGTGAATCCGCATCTTGAAAAACAAAGTTATTGGTGGGTTGTGGGTTTTTTTCACAGACTGGTATGGGTTGGAAGGGACTTTCTCTGGAGATCATCTAGTCCAACCCCCCTGCTCAAGCAAGTTCACCTACAGCAGGTCGCACAGGATCATGCCTGGGGGAGTTTTGAATATCTCCAGAGAAGGAGACTCCACAGCCTCCCTGTGCAGCCTGTTCCAGTGCTCCGTCACTCTCAGAGTAAAGAAGTTTTTCCTCATGTTGAGGTGGAACTCCCTGTGCTCCAGTTTGTCCCCATTGCCCCTTGTCCTGTCCCTGGGCACCACTGAAAAGAGCCTGGTCCCATCCTCTTGACACCCACCCTTTAGGTATTTATAAGCGCTGATAAGATGTCCATTTTACAAGCATTGATAAGGTCCTTTCCTTTATAGCTAGACAAGATCTTTGACTTTTGACAACGTGTGCTAAACAACAATATGTAACTGGAATGGCTAATCTGAAACGCAAGTAGGTGGGGATTCGACTTATTTCCAATTTTATTCTGCCACTCTTCACATCACCACAATTTACAAGTAGTATTTTTTAAGCTAATTTAATTTTACTCTATTGCCAAGACGCTACAACTATTCCTGAGAGCCATGCATATTTTTGGTCATTAAATGCTCTTCTCCAAAAACAGAGAACAAGATGTCCAACCACGTTTCACAGAACATCCACAAACATCCCCAAAACTGCTTTGTTTCATTCTATACTTGAATACTTCACGTGCTTCATTCTATACTTGATATAGATGCACAAACTTACTTCTAAACAACATACTCAATTTTGTATGTTATATAATAAAACACCACTTGAAACATCACAACAAGAAGTAAATAACTAATAGACCAAATCCCATCACAGCTCCTGCTGCCCCAAAGCTAATGGTAACCAAGCACACCGCTCTTTTATAGCATTAAGATTTTTCCAATATAGTAAAGAACTGATCGCCTCCAGCACAACACCATTTTGCAAGAGCAGAGGACAGGAGAATTCAAATGGAACCTTGTAACTCATGCTGCAATTTCATTTGGAAGAAAAACACTGTCTGGGACTTGTCACTGAGAGGATGAATTTATAATTTAATTGTTTCAATTATTGTTAAATTTTAAGCTGCACAAAGCTTCTGAAGTTTATGCAAAACTCTCAATATGAAAAAGACTATTAAGCATTTCTTACAAATTTTCCCACCATTCTTTTCAATAGAAAGCAAAGAAAGCATTAGGTAGATGATACTATGTCTCACAGATAGTATCATTTGTCTAAAAACGGAACATTTTACCAGATGGCAATACCACTAAATTTGTTTTTTTTTTTTTTTTTACTGCAACACCCTCACTTTCCAGGAAAAGCTACCACATACGGGGACCCGTGTGTCTCCTCTCCACTACAATGAGACACTATCAAGAAACATAACTTATTATGACCTAGCGATATTAAAAGAAAGGATTATTGTGTTGGCAAAAAGCAAAATCTGATAGCACAGCTAGTAAAAAAGGCAAAGAATAGGAGGATCATGAGAATTTTACAACCTCGGCATAAGGTGATGTGAAATAAAAGATAAACACATGCAACATCAATGACTGGAAGCTTAGGAAGGGCTCCTCTGTGTTTATGTCAGAACATGAAAACCTGATATGCAAGTGTAACAGTCCAGTATTTAAACTTCTGTCATGATTCAAATACAGCACAGCATCTAAATGTGAACTATCCGTCAAAGGACAAAAAGGTTTCAGGGATTTTGGTTTTGGTTTGAAATTCACTTTTCAGAAGCAAAAGAATATTTGCAATTTCTACAATTACGTTCAGTAATGTGCAATTATGAGACACATTTTGTGTATGTGTTTGGAAAAACATATAGCCAAAGAACTGTGTTAATTTTAGAAGTTCCTCTAGAAGGTCATAACGTAGCAGAGCTGTAGTAGTCTGCGATAGTATGATTCTACTGTAGAATTGCTTTTATAATCTCTCCATATATATATTTCTACTATGGAGAGTTACTGAAAAATAGTGGTTTGCTATTGGCTATCTCACCATCTTTTCAGTTTCCTCCAAAACTTTTATTGAAAGCAAAGACTTATGTGCAACAGCTCAACCTGCTGCCACAGAAATTACGTCGATAATGCGATCCATGTCACCTCATATTAGCTGCTAACACTGGTTTGTTGCTTTTGTTTTGTTGTGCTTGTTTGCTTGTTAAAAAGCAGGGTGTAAACTTGGTCTACGTTATTTCACCCACCTTCAAAATACACATCCTGCTTAGTGAAAGCAGAAAACCAGCTTCCATATTCATGCAATAGGCTTTTCTACTATGCCAGGGATTACGGTCTGGGATCATTTTTGGAACATCTTTTCATTCTGTAGTCTGCTGCTGCTTTTAGGGAGGCTTGCTTTATAAAGCACTCAGCATCATCTCATGAAAGACATTACGTCAATGTACAGTCACTATAAAGATAAGAAAATACTCTATCACTTTACTTTGAAAATATTCCCTTTTTGATCATGACAATTGTCAAAAAATTACTTTATATGTAAAAAAAGTCCAAATAAATTAAACCAATAGCTTCAGAGACTAGTTAGAAAGAACCTCTGATTTTTTTCATGTACACTTATCTTAGTTCATATCAGGAAATAACGCAAAATAAAATCATGCCACCTACTCAAGGGCAGATTTAAGTGATAAATGCAATAGGTTCAAAGCTCCAGTGACGGTATTCCGGGGAGTTACCTTGAAAAGACTGCACAGGCTATTAGTATAGGCTACATTGTCCCTAGGAAAAAAAAAGTCTTTTGGACATAATGATTTAACAGCTGAGTAATACTGCAGATGGAACTGAGCACAGGAACAGCTACATATGTCACTGACACTAAATAAAGATCATGCCCGTATAGGCAAAACTAGAGACACAGAAAACACCAGATAGTCTCTGTTTACTTCCCAACAGTTTCTTTTGGGAAAACAGCTCTGAAAAACTTCAGTATATTGTCAGCCCTGACAAAAGTATGGGTTACTTCTGGCCTGTAGTCAGTTGTGCAACGCCTGCTGAATCAACAACAGTTATAGAGCAGATTTCCAGTAGCTGTACATTTTCACAATTCTACTGGAGTTTCATTTCCTTCATTAGTTGCAGATATCCTCATAGTAAAAGAAGAAAGAGATGGGTGGAGGGGGATTGGTAGCAATTCAAGATTAAAAAAAAAAAAAGGAAAAAAAGATTCTGATTTTTCAGGCAGAAATTTTGTCAAATATTATGCATTTGTAAGGAGAAAAGAGCCATGATCTAACTGTGAACCTGAAGTATATCAAAACAAATTACAACAAAGTGATGAAGACAGAGACAGCATATGAAAAAAATGGCTCTCCTCTGGGGAAAAAAAGTAACTCCTGACATTAGAAATACATTCCTAAATAGTTAGGGACTTCAGACAATCAAGATTCTTTTACTGCTAATAAATCATGTGATTTTTCTTTCAGAGGTTTAGACAGAGAGAAGTGAAATATCAATAATTTTACCACAGCTTAACAAAAAAAGTATACTGTGGTCCAAGAGTACTATTTAAAAACTTTCTTCCCTACCTGTATGACCCATAGTAATTTACATAGTAAGATCAACTGCTTCATAGTCTGATCTTCCTTTCATTATACAGACCATTATCTTTACTGAGTTGAAGCAAAACCATTAAAATAATAGTAACCTTCCTTCTTATTTCCCTTGAATTTTACTTTTGAATACACTGAGCTCCAAGAAATGTTTCTGTTCCCCTTCCATTTCCTGGATTAAAAACCCCAACAGTTCACAAATATTAGATCAATTCTGAGCTGACTATCCTCTCAAAAAAAAAATCTGCATAGACAACCTAAGAGCTATCTTTCAAAGTCACAATCAGTATGGAGTAAATTCTTATCACAACAAATTAAATTTAAGAACTAGCTTACCTCAAATACAGCTTCATCTCTGTAAGAAGGAAAATTTTCCAGGACTAGACGTAGTAGTTTCTGAGCACTTTTCCCACTCATTTTAACACAGGTGAGGAAAGAGCCTCCAAACTTCTCTAACAGAACCGTTCCACTTTCATTCAACACCCGATGTCTTTCTTCGATCAAAGGTATGGGCACTTCCGTGTCAGAGCGAAATACATGCCTAACTTGGTCAAGCGTCATGGTGGCAAAATATGATGCACTGGTAATGGGTATTCCTTCAGAAAAGTAAAAATAAGATGTTCAGGCTATCATAACGTATCCTAAGATGTAATGCAGCAGTGTGCTACAGATGAGTGCATTTATACAGTAAGATCTAAAGAGTCAACTCTTAAAATGAGTGTTCAGCAATAACTGCACTCCATAGCTGCTTAAAACAAAACCTTTGTTTGCAGATGGTGCTTCCTTCTACAGATAACAATTTCCAACATGCAGCCGTGGAACCTTTCTTGCTTTTTATATGCAATTTCTCCCAACCGATTAGTCTTCAACTTTGAGCGTGGTGTTTACGCCGCACACTGGCAACTATAGTTAAGTGTATAGTTAGTATAGCCAGCACACGCCTGTTTTCCCTTAGCTCCTAATCACGCTGTGCATTTACAAAAAGTATCTTAACGCAAACCTCCGCTTAATTTACAAATACATAGGAAATTAATTAAAACTTCCATCTATACCTCCAACAGTTGTGGTTTTGTTTTTGGTTTTTTTTTTCTGACGACAGCAACAGGAGTAAGCATTACAGTACTTTTGCTTGGTTTTGGAGGCGTACGCGTTTTTCAGATTTACTGGAGCTGCTTTGATACTAGATCAGTCCAGAGGATTCTCAGTTTAAGCCTCATTTTCTCATTCGTCGTGGAAACACAATTCATTTTAAGAACACGCGTGAAACAACAGAAGCCCCGAAGAACTGGCTACGAACGCTCCTTGAAGTCTTTTTAATGGAAAAAAGGCCACCCAATTAGAGCCACAGGGTGGGTGGCTTCAGCACGTGGTATTGTTAAAGTACTTCCAGTTGCCTCCCCCAAGCTCTGCGGGGCGGCCTGCACATGCAAATTTATCAAATAGGCAACAGTTTGCAGAAACGGTGCCCGTTTCCGCGGCAGTGCCTCTGTTTGACACTCACCGCTCGGTCCCTAACGCCCCCCACCCCCGCCCCTC